ATCAATATATATATTTCTAAATACGTCCAACCCATTTTAGGCTACTTAAAGCAGTCAATTAATCGCTAGACAGCGGACATTTATGCAAATTAAAAATAGTCTGCGTCGATCGCAAGACACAGGATTTGAGCACAATAATTTCTCTTTCTTTAATAATCTAATCTTTGATCTTCGACAAGATCAAATGAATACGTCAACATTTTCAGCTTCCTTCTATNATCAATATATATATTTCTAAATACGTCCAACCCATTTTAGGCTACTTAAAGCAGTCAATTAATCGCTAGACAGCGGACATTTATGCAAATTAAAAATAGTCTGCGTCGATCGCAAGACACAGGATTTGAGCACAATAATTTCTCTTTCTTTAATAATCTAATCTTTGATCTTCGACAAGATCAAATGAATACGTCAACATTTTCAGCTTCCTTCTATCTTTTCACTGCTTCAAACTGCACCTATCTGCTCCTTAAACGCATAAAATCTGCAGTCTACCGATCACCAGACTGCGGATCTTTATGCGAGATAAAAATTGTATGCATCGATCGCAAGAAACAACAACTGCGTAGACATTTATTCTTGTCTCGAGTAATTTTCATAAATTCTAAATAACATAATCGAATCAATAAATTCACTTTATGTAACGTTAACCTCGCCATTCAATTTCGTAATTCACTATTTTCTGTTTGTCGCACAGTAAATTCTCCCCAACTTTCCTTCAGCTTGCGAACAAAAATGCACAACACAGAAAGAATAGATACGATCGTTCGATCCCCGCGGCTCATTTCTATCGTTGCCGATCGTCAAGAATTCGAGAAACGGGGGAGGCGCGAGCCTCGAATAATCTCCTCTTCCGAAATTGTCCGGCTTTGTTTACAAGCTGAAGGAAAATTATGGAGAATTCGCCGGTATGCTCGGTTTCGCCGTAAACGCATAAAATCCGCTGCCAACAAATCAGCCCCGCATACCTCAACGCGAACGCAAGCTCTGCACCTCCACGCGGTGGCCAGTTCCGCAAGCCTCCGGTCCTCTCGCCGGGTTCGTAAACCACGGCGGGAAGAAGGCCGGCGTTGCCCCGAGTGCTTTAACTTCCCCATAAAGCGTTGCCGCGAAAATATCGCGCAGCGCGTGTCGTCGGGATCGCGGCCGAAATTAATGCGGGATGGAGTTTATTAGGCATGTCGGCGGGGGTGTAGAAGCGATCCGCTAACACATTTCCGTTGCCGCGTCGCCGCCGCGCCGTAGGTGGTGCACAAGCCTTTTATTCCGCGTAACGACGCCCGCCGCCGTCTCGTCCGGAAATAGTCGGCCGGCGTAGAGAAATCGCTTCGGGGATCATTTATTCGGAGAGTTAATGGTGCCGTGGAATGCGGGAGAAGCGCCGCGGCACCGCGGTGACACCAAAATGGCGGACGCGCGGTTCTGCGCGGTCCCTGCAGAGTGAGTGAGGGAGGGAGGGGGGCGGAACCTTTGACGGCCATCGTCCCGGAAATTGATGCGTGCAGTATGCGCCGGAGGACACCCTGAAAGCTTCGCTGCCGGTTTTTTTACCGTTGCCGAGTAGCCGTTTCTTTTATTAGATCGCGATCTTTACTTTGAATCCTGTCCCCGAGCATGCTATTGATGCTCCCGGTCGAAATAGTTCTGTCAAAGGGAGCTGGCGAATCACGTTTCGAGGCAACGGACGCGTTCCTGCTGTTCGATTTACAATCCGAAAGCGATCGATGCTACGATCCGGCTTTCGAGCGACGAGAGCGCACTTCGACCTTTGGACGAAGGACATTTTTTTTAGTAGTTATGGCAGCATGTCTCCGAGCGCGTTCAAATTTTTGCGATTGACCCTTAGCGCTCCACGCGTTTCTCGAGTACAGTAATGTCTCCCTTACTGACGCTCGAATTGTGCTGAAAAATGGACAATCTGGGAAGAGGAGATACGATTATTCGAGCCTTGCGGCTCGTTTCTATAATTATTGACCATAAAAAACGAGCCACAAGGCTCGAACAATCGTATCTCCTCTTCCTAAATTGTCCATTTTTGTGGACAATCTAAGCGTCAATTAGAGAGACATTACTGTACGACCTACCAGCAGCTCCGGCACATTTTTGGAGCAAAGCGCCCGAGATAAAGGAAGACTTATTTCGAGCGGAAAAGATTACGCGCCCTTGCGAAAGCGTTTGATTTTATTAATTTTACGTTGCTAAATATAAAAATTGGCAAAAAATGTTTTAATCGTAATGGTATCTGCTTAACATTGCGCGAGGTCGGTGACCGAAAATTCCAAGCAGCAAATGCATCCTCATCGAAATGTGTAAATTTACTATTAACGATATTCTTCGCGATTCTTAAATAAATATATCCCTCGTGTTCTTCGACGCGATTTATTATAAAATTAGCATCGCGAATCGTCCGTTAAATTCTGCTTGGATACGGAATTATTGAATCAAAAATATCTTTTGCGCGAGTTTGCCGGAATTTTTGAATCGTTAATCTTCGCTGGAATCGGCTCGATTAATAATTAAATTAAATTAAAAATTAGTAAATATTCTTCGGACGTTCTAAAATAAAGTTGAACAGCGTTTTTCTGAAAAATATCACTAACAGCAACTCCGGCACATTTTTCGAGCAAAGCGCCCGAGATAAAGGAAGTCATATTTCGAGCGGAAAAGATTACACGTCCTTATGAAAGCGTTTGATTTTATTCATTTTACGTTGCCAAGTACAAAAATGGGCAAAAAATGTTTTAATCGTAATGGTACAAACGCTAAGCACGTTTTCACTACGAATAACAATTGCCAACGTCGACAAAAACATAGCATTTTCGGTGTAATCATGCTAAAAACACTGGGCTCCGCAGCAGAGCCTTCGGATTTACGGAACAAATGACGAATGTCTCCGTAGCGGAGCCAACGGAGCGCTAAGGGTTAATATTCGTTTGCACGTTTTCAAACGACCCGTTTTATCGAGGCCAAAGTTATTCGACTTTTATTTTCATTCGACTCGATATTAATAGTCGATAATTGCAAGCGACCGCCGGAAAATTAGGATTCCGATGGAATCTTTGTAACTCCGGGTCGAAATGGACCCCCAAGGCCTGCCAATCGAGATTTAAACCTAAAAAGTGTTTGCTCTGATATCCAAAGATTCATTTTGCACGACCCGCGATGCTTCAATATGGACGCCAACGAATGATCAATTTAGCCACCCCCTGCTACCCTAAGCGTCACGACGGATTTCTCGAAGGAAACGGAACGGAGTTGGTTCGGTTCGCGTCGCGTTACCGCGCGGAATCACGGACTTAAATCGAGAATGAACGTTCGCGTTCTTTTTCCAGCTCTGAAGACCCCGCCAGCGTTCCACGAGCAGCGCAAGCAGCTGGAGCGGGCGAAGACCGGGGATCTCCTGAAGGCGAAGATCCAGCAGAGACCGGGCCGGGACGAGCTGGTCAGGCAGCACATCCTGGAGGATGTGGGTCACGTGGACCCGAGCCTCGCCGAGAGGCAGCGGATGCTGAAGAAGGCCCGTCTGGCCGACCAGCTGAACGACCAGCTCAGTCACCGGCCAGGACCGCTCGAGCTGATCCAGAAGAATATTCTCCACACAGAGGAGCCGATAGAAAGGGCGGTCAAAGGTTAGTCGACCGTTTCAAGCTATTCCCCCCGGGATCAGCCGGCTATTGTCTAGCGGAGAGCTGGTCCGTTGTCTCGCGGATGGTTCCTAACGCTGAACTGTTCTCGTTCGCAGAGGGCCACATTCCCTTCAAGGCCACTTGCGAGGGCCAGGTGACGAAGCCCCAGCACCCGGACCACTACATCACCTTCGAGGACGACTCGCAGAGCTCCGAGGGCGCGCCCTCGCCTCAGCTCGAGTCCCGGTCGGACGTTCTAGAGACGGCGGCCGCGTCCGCGGGCATCGTCACCGTTTCGCTTAGTATTCCGACGACCGGCGGCGCCGTGGTCGTCTCGTCCACGTCGCCGGTTTTCCAGCAGGCGTCCAACGAATCGACGATACAAACGTTCGCGGAGCTCTGCAACACCGTCGTCAGCTCGCAGCAGCAACAACAGCAGCAGCAACAGCAACAACAACAACAACAGCAGCAGCAGCAACAACAGCAACAGCAGCATCAACAGCATCAACAGCACCAGCAACAGCATCAACAGCACCAGCAGCAACAGCAACAGGTCCAGCACAGTCAGCAGCATGCTTCGACGCAGGTGAGTCACGAGTCGACGAGGCTCGCCGGAGACGAAAGAGAGAAACATTCGAGAGACCGGTGCTACGACGACGAGAGAGAAGGAACTCTCTTTCTCTCTCGTGCGCGCTCTCTCTCTCTTGCGTTCTCTCTCTCGCGCTCTCTCTCTCGAGCTCTCTCTCTCTCTCTCTCTTGCGTTCTCTCTTTCGAGCTCTCTCTCTCTCTCTCTCTCTCGTGTGCTCTCTCTCTCGCTCTCTCTCTCTCTCTCGCGCGCGCGCTCTATCTCTCTGACGATGACTTTGTAGGACGCTCGCTAAAGGGCGGGGCGGGAGGGGACCGCGCGCAGGGTAGATAAAAAAAGGCGGGGAGGCCGGATGGCTCCGACGCAAAAATAGATTTACCGTCGGGACGTTAAGTACCGGTCATAAATTGGTGGGCAACGATGTGGGCCGATTAATCGATGAATTCCGCGGTGAAAGAAAAAAAAAACGCAACGATCTCTGTTAACAGGCGAGTCAGACGAACGGGCCGTCGACGACCCTCCTTCCACTGGCGCCGGCGCCCAGTCCGATGTCCTTGGGCTCGACGACATCCAGCCTGAGTCCCCTTTCCAATATCTCGATAGCGTCGCCCCCGGCACCACCGCCGGCCGCCATCACCCCCAGACCCCAGCCGAGCCCGATCGCGGCGTCCACGTGTCAGAGGAGCGACGCGCCCGGCAAGGATAAGAACAGGAAGAAGTCGAAGACCAAGAGCCAACCTAAGACACGCACCATCAAGTTCCACGAGTACAAGGTGAGTTAATAATCCCTTTAACCCTTTCGCTACGGCAGCTCCATCCGCCGAAGTACTGTCACCGAACGGAAACTCGCTTCGGAAATATGCACAGTGCGCGTGGTTTCTGTATACAGTAATGTCTCCCTTACTGACGCTCAGATTGTCCACTGAAATGGACAATTTGGGAAGAGGAGACACGATTATTCGAGCCTCGCGGCTCGTTTTTATGATTGTGGACAATTTATAACTATAAAGATAAGGCTCGAATAATCGTCTCTCTTCTCCCTAAATTGTCCATTTTTGTGCGCAATCTGGGCGTCAATTAGAGAGACATTACTATACAAGCAATTGTAGGGACGTATCGAGATACGTTCGATCGTTAATTATTAGGTTGTAAACTATGAAACGGGCGTTTTTGTTTAATCTGAGACTAAAAAGAGGTTCATTGTAACGTGCGCTCGATACTTTTGTTTATAAATTTCAAAGGTATTCATCTTACTCATTTCGCAAAAATTTGTTCGTCTTTGTATCCCATTTTTATTTTATTTATCTCCGAAACCAGATGGAAACAAAACACGATTTACATCTACGTTTAATCTTGTACGAGTTCAAATGGAATCGTAGCGCAGCTCAAGCTTCGAGAAACATTAATCACGCATTCGTAGATGGATCTGGTAATGAAAAAGATGCTCGATGTTGCTTCCAAAAATATATAATATATATATATATATATATTGGAAACTAAGGTTGGAAACTATGAAACGGGCGTTGAATAAAAATAAAAACAAAAAGCGCAATTTTTCTCATTATTCATTATATTCAATCTATATATATGGATTTTTATAATTGTGGACAATTTATAACTATAAAAATAAACCGCGAGGCTCGAATAATCGTATCTCCTCTTCCCAAATTGCCCATTTTTGTGCGCAATCTGGGCGTCAATTAGAGAGACATTACTGTATACGTTGTTCCAAGTCTTAAATAATAACTGTGCCGAATAAAACAATCGTTGCTCTGATGTAACAAGTATATTTACATTTTTAATTTAAAAAGACTCACAAAATTATAGGTAACATAGGTATTTATGTAATTACAAAGCCTAACGATTAAACGTTTAATATAATTAACAACGAGACGAAAATTAGTAAATATAATAATATGTAAAAACTAATAATATAATTCTGTGTGATATATTTGAAAGCAAGGATCTATACAAAGGCCAACGTCGCAATCTTTGCACTCGTACCGCGAATCCGTTCTTTTATCATTTTTGCTACAAATTACACATCCGCGTCTTCTGTATACACTTCATTTCGATGCCGCATATACGCGGCGCCCGTACCCACAGGTCGTCGAGTGGATGCCGCATGTACAGGGTGTCCCAAAAACTTGCACGCAACTTGCTTTGCCAAGAACTCGACTTTTTACTTGCTACAAAAAAGTTCATCCGCAGCTAATTTTTGGTACTCGCTTTACCTAGAAGATTGATATAAGACTGATATATAACAGATATACAGAATATTCCACAATTATATTAACACCTGGAAAGGGATGATTCCTGAGGTCATTTGAAGCAACTTTTTCCTCAGCTAAAATGTTCTACGAGGCTTCGTTTACGAATTATTAACGAAAAACACTGACCAATGAGAGGCGAGCTCGCCTAGCGCTTGGCGGCCAACGAGCGCGCGAAGCCCAGTTCCGCTCATTAGCTCGGCCGCCTTGCGCCAGCATATCTCACCTCTCATTGGTCACTCTTTTTCGTTAATAACTCGTAAACAAACCCGTACATCGCATTTTCGCAAAGAACAAATTTACTTCAAATTACCTCAGGAACCTCCCATTCTCGGATTGCGAGACATTTTTGGGACATCCTGTATGCGGCGCTCAGTGCGAAAGGGTTAATCGTCATCTTTTACCGTCACGATCTGCCAACCAGCGTGAAACATTAGCCGCCCCAGCTTTCAAAATTTTAACAAATCTTGACCAGCGTCTCGTCGCGAGTTGGACTCCAGTCGTCGACGTAATCGCGGCGATTCCGAGCAAACGATCGCTGGCTCGCTTCTTGTTCAATCTAGCAGTGATTTCTAGGCTGTCGCGGTAATCGATCGTTCGCGTCTCGAATATCCTGTGGAACGCGCTCGATCACGGGCAGCCCTTCCGCCGTCGGGTTTTGCATCATCGCCGCGTCACTGACGTAACGCCGGAACGACGCGTTCCCGTCGGGCCGGAGTCAATGTTACGTTTACTACTTTCACTCCTGATTCCGCGGGGAGACCGACGCGGGTAGGCGTGAGCGTTCTTTACGCGCTTGATTACGAGGTGGACGGCTGTCCACGGGTGAAAATACGCGGCGCGTTTTACGGCTGGTTCTCTCTCCTTCTCGCGCGAGTCGCGTTTATCGGCAGTGAAAATCGAAAGTGCGCCGGCGAAAAGATACGTGACGCAAGGTAATTATCGTGAACCGGGGGCTGGCCGAGGGGGGCGCAGGACCTCGCCGAAAACGAAGTACCGGTTCCGTTAATGTCCGACGGGGGAGCAGAAAACGGGGCCGCGGCATAGAGAAAAGCGCCGGCCGGTCGGCAAGGACGACGAAGAGACGAGGGGACACAATTAGAAAGTCGGGGGGAAAAAGAGGGCGAACAGGAGAAATGAAAGCGGCGGGGACGGAAGGGCCGCGGGGAAAAAAGGCCGGCCGGAGGAAGAGGAAGAAGCGGCGAGGAGGCGGCGAGGCAGGGAGAAGAGGCCACGAAGAGAGGCAAGAGCAAAGTAAAAACCGGGTACGGCCGGTAAATCTCGGCTTCGGTAGCCCGCGAAGAAGCGATCGCTTGCTCCCTGTCCGTCTCCTTCTTCCCCTCCCTCTCTCTCTCTCTCTCTCGCTCGCTCTTTCTCTGTCGAAGGCAGAAAGAAGCGCAGAAGGAGATCGTATCGGGTGATTAACTCTCGCGATCTCTCGAAGGGCCCGGGGCCACCTCGTTAGCTCTGAGTAATTCGAGCGCTAATTGCACCTAAGAGCGGGGAAGCCAGGGAGCGACGGAGAAGCGGGTCCAAAGGGGGTCGAACGGGGGATGGCAGGAGCAGCGGAGGGCCCGATAGGTGCCGCACGGACCCGGCCACGCTCCCGAAACATTCGGGATATGGCGTTGGCCGGCGTGGCCGGCGTGAAAGCGAGCCGGGAATGGGCGTGCAAATGAGGGCGCAGAAAACATCTTGATGTATCATTTATCACTCGCGCCACGGCCTCTCCTACGTCGGGCCTCGCTCTTCCGCCCGGCCGACGTGATTTTTCTCTCGGTTTTTGCGGCCGGACGTTACCGAGGCATACCCGGAATTTTTCTGCTCCGTGGAACGACTGAAACGCTGCTGCCGGTAATTACCCGCGGCAATTTGCGCGCTTGATGACTCTTCTCGCGTTTCGGGGACACCGGGGGTTGGCCGTGTCGTGATTCAAATTTACGCGAGATCTTTAATGTCCGGCCACGGGAGATGCGCCTCTTGATTCATATTCTGCGCGGTGTCGATGCACGCTCTCCGCTCTCCCATTCCTATATATTTAGCGGATTTCATTGGCAGTAATTGATTTCCCTTGCGCAGCGAACTTACGTTGGTTATTGCAGCACCGGTTGACCTATCGCGATCCGATTGTCTTCACTCTTATCGTTCCAAAAGTGGCTGCGTCGCGTGCATCGTTCCATCGTATTTCCATGTAGAGTAATTTCTACCTAATTAGCGCTGAGATTACGCAGAAAAATGGGCAATTTGGGAAGAGGAGATACGATTGTTCGAGCCTTGCGGTTCATTTTTATAGTTGCGAATTGTCAACAATTATAGGAACGAACTACAAGGCTCGAATATAATAATGTCTTCCTAATTCGCGCTTAGATTATGCACGAAAGTGGACAATTTGGGAAGAGGAGACACGATTATTCGAGCCTTGCGGCCAAGCGACTCCAATTTTTGCTTCAAACGGCTCAGATATTGCGTTATAATTTTCTTTTTTATCATGACGTTACTATAACGCAACTATAAAAATCATTTTTAATAACATTCTTAGTTTCTTTTAATATTTTCACTGTTTTATTAGATTATGCCCACTCATTTTTGCCATAAATGCATAAATTACGCCGTTTACTTATTACACAATACAGTAAAGTCCCCTAATCGACGCACAGTTTATGCACGAAAATGGACAATTCGGGAAAAGCGGAGATGATTATTCGAGCATCGTTCTTATAGTTGTTGATAATCGATAACCATAAAAAACGAGCCACAAGGCTCGAACAATCGTATCTCCTCTACCAAAATTGTCCATTTTTCTGGACAATCCGAGAGTCAATTGAAGCGTCAATTGGAGAGACATTACCGTACGCGGCGAAAGACGATGTCGGATCCAGATGTACATAAGACCTAATCGACGCTCAGTTTATGCACAAAAATGGACAATTCAGAAAGAGCAGATACGACTATTCGAGCATCGCGGCTCGTTTCTATAGTTGTTGACAATCGTTAACCATAAAAATCGAGCCACAAGGCTCGAACAATCGTATCTCCTCTACCAAAATTGTCCATTTTTCTGGACAATCCGAGCGTCATTTAAAGCGTCAATTAGAGAGACATTACTGTACGCGGCGAAAGACGATGTCGGATACGGATCGACGTAGAACCAATCAGGATTAAAAATGCTCAAACAGCTTAAAAAGTGTCAAACTTGATCCGGTGAAAAGTGAACGGAGTAACCAGCGCTACAAGTTGCTAGATGCTCGATTATTCGAGGCGTTCGTTTTCCACCGTGTCGAGCGGCTCGCCGAGTGTCGAATAGTTAAGCGAACATCGCGGGTCTCCTGTGCGGGCCTCCGCGCCACTCCTCCCTCATTAGCGACGATTAATCCTAACAATGTCTGTCGGTAGGGCCCGCCAAACGCGCAGAAGACATCGGTGTCGTCGACGACTTCCGGCCTCGGCTCGGCGCCGCCCGGCGAGACCAGCTACGAGTTGCTGCTCCAGCAACAGCAGCTCTTCCTCCAATGGCAGCTCGAATGGCAGCACAAGGTACGCCGGGATCGTTAAACAAATAGAAATGTTCTGGTTCGCGTCCGGCTTTCTTCGGGCACGCGGATATCGCCGGGCGAATCTCCGACGTGTCTCACGGCCGGACGTGACTCGTTAGCCGGCGCGTTTCATACTTTCTCCTGCCGCAATTTGCATAGCAATTGCGCTATTACGCGTAGATTTATAATCGAAGATCGGGTTGCGAGATCGCCGCGAATTGAAACGTCTGCCGCGCGATTAAACACGCGTCCGCGACGGGCCGTTCGGAGCCGTTTGCATAACGAGCGCGTGTGCTTTCTGTCCGCGCAGTATCCGCAGATCATCCTACCCGCGGCGCAAAAGCCATTGTCACTGAACAGCAGCGGCGCCAGCGACGCTGGAAGCATCAGCGGAAGCAGCGCGAACGCGCCCAGCCCTGCGCCCTCCAATTCCTCGAACAACCCCTCGGAACAGCCGCCGTTGAGGCCCCTTGGAAAGCTGGAGGAAATGAAAGGTACGATCGTTTTCTCTCGACGAATTCGAAATTTTCCGACGCTCGCGTATAGTCGGCGTCGAGTCGAATCGAGATTGATCACGTGTCGCGGACGGCGCCGGATTTTTCAGTAAGCGATCTCAAAGTGGAGCTGAAGCGCCGAAACTTGCCGGTGTCCGGCTCGAAGCCGCAGCTGATCGAGAGATTAAAGCCGTTCACGGAGCTGTCCAGCGGCAACTCGACGTCCAGCTCGAACGGGCCCCATGTGACGCACATGGGCCACATACTGATGGACACCCCGGGGCCAGTCACATCCGACGAGTCTAGCTCCCACGCCAAGAGCCCCGGCTCCGCCATTAAGGACGAGCCGAACAGCCCGCGGTTGGATTCACCGCATGGCAGCGAACAGGACGATCCGTCGAGCCCGCCAGGTACACACGGCTTTCTTCTTTCCGGCTTCTTTATTTGCCTCGCGCTATTTATAGATTCAGGGTGTCCGAAAATTATGGCAATCCCGGAAAATATGGGAAATGTTATTCCTGAGATCGTTTGAAGCAACTTTCTCCTTAGCGAAAATGCAATCCGAGCTTTCGTTTACGAGTTATCAGCGAAAAACAGTGACCAATCAGAGGCGAGCTCAGCCAGCGCGAGGCAACCGAGCCAGCGAGCGGCGGAAGCCCGGTTCCGCTGATTGGTTCGGCCGCCTAGCGTCGAGCGAGCTCGCGTCTTATTGGTTTGAGTTTTTCGATAATAACTCGTAAACGAAGCCTCGTAGAACATTTTTGTAAAGGAGAAAGTTGCTTCAAACGACCTCAGGAACCCCTCATTTCTCGGAAATACCATAATTTCAGGCCCCCCTGTACAGTAATGCTAGAATAAATAAATAAATTTCGTTAATAACTCGTTAACGATGTCTCGGAGAACATTTCTGTAAAGGAAAAAGTTGCTTCGAACGATCTTAGGAATTTCTAATTTCCCGGAAGTACAAAAATTTTCGGGACACCCTCTATATATATACACGGTGTCCCGAAAATGTCTCGCAATCTAGAAATGGGAGGTTCCTGAGGTCATTTGGAGCAACTTTTTCCTTTGCGAAACTTTTCTCCGAGGCTTCGTTTACGAGTTATTAACGAGAAACACTGACCAATAGGAGGCGCGGTTCCGCTCATTAGCTCGGCCGTCTCGCGCCAAATGATCTCGCCTCTGATTGGTCACTGTTTTTCGTTAATAACTCGTAAACGAAGCCGCGGATTGCATTTTCGCTAAGGAAAAAGTTGCTTCAAATCACCTCAGGAATCCCCTACTTTCGGATTGCGAGACATTTTTGGGACACCCTGTATATACGTATACCTCGCAGTCGATATTGCGCATACGAAAGAAACGACGATGCTTTTCGAGGGGACCGTACCGGAACGCACAACGCATATCGGTGGTTTCACGCTTGCAGCTCGTGTTTCAGGAGACGACATAATCAAAGAGCAAAGGAAACGGATAGAGGAGCTGCAGCGCGAGCTGTACAAGTCGCAGCAGCAGCTCCAGCAGATCCGGCAGACTCAGCCGACCACGGTGCACGCCGAGAAACTGGTGCTCCAGCAACACATACAGAACAAGATGCAGCAGCAACAGCTGGCCCTGCATTTGCAACACTTGCAGCACCTGCAGCAACAGCAGGCGCAGCAGCAGCAGCAGCAGCAGCAGCAACAGGCGCAGCAACAGCAGCAGCAACACAGTCAGCAGCAGGCCCAACAGCAGACGCAGCAGCAACACGCGGCGTTCCAGCAGCTGAACGCGAAGGCCAGCCTCGCGGCGTACCTGCAGGCGCAGCCGAACAACACCGCGATCTTGGACTCCTCGACCTTGACCGCGATCAACAACAAGAAGAACCAAGCCAAGAACAGCGCCACCGTGCAAATCCCGACCGCGATCGTCCTGAACCTGGCGAAACCCGCGAAACTGAACGGTTCGCTGCTCGGCGCTTTGGTGGCGCAGGCGCAGGCTCAGCAACAACAGCAACAGACGGTTGTTACCGAAGATGGAAAACCGCCGCCGCCTCAGTACGACGAAGCCGCGAAGCTGCTCAAGGTAAGAACCCGATCTGGTTTTGCTAGATCGTTGCTAGTTTTGCTAGATCGTTGCTGGTTTCGTTGGATAGACAAAGAAAAACGCGAAAGATACCTAAACGATTCGAATCTCCGCTCAGGTGAAGATCGAGCCGGTGCAGAAGAACCACATCAAGAGCCAGGTGGTGGACGACGTGCTGGAGATCCTGATAAAGAACGGCGAGCTGCCGCCGAGCGCCGCGCAGGACCCAGCGACGCCGACCACGCCGAACAGGCAACTGCAGCAGAACCTGGTGTTCACGGCGCCGGCGGACAGCCAGACGCACTCGTTGGTGTTCACTGCCGCCAGTCCCATCAGCCCGATCAGCCCGATTGCGATGGAGGTCTCCCAGAGCGATTGCGTGAGTTCCCCGGTCCTGGCACCGGCGCTACCGTTCCCGTTGTCTCCGGCGACCCTCGGCATTCAACTGCCCAATGCATTGCAACAGTTACAGCAGCAGGAGGAAATGTCCTCGTTCAACACGGACCTGCTGACCTCGGAGGCGGAGCTGGACACCGCGATGCTCCTCAGCCCCCAGTCGGTCCACCAAGCGTCGCCCGATCCCCAGCCGCCCCAGGAGGTCACGTCCTCGGACAACGCGAACTTGGACCTCAAGGTGAGCACGAGAACCAACCGCGAAGACCCGTCCGTTCGATCGTCTACGACTTAACTTTGTTATTTTCCCGCAGGAACTCGGACTTGACTTAGAGACCCTGGACACCATGGACTTCGGCCAGCTCGATTGCGACTTAGGCGTCAAGATGGAGGCGCCGCAGGAGCTGATGGACATCGGAGACATGCCCATGGACATGGACGATCCCGACTGGCTCGATTCTCTGATGCCCCAGTCGCCCCCGACTACTTCCACGACGATGTCCAACCATCAGCCGGCCTCGTCCATGAGCCTCTCCTCCGGAACGGACATCTACGATCCGCTCCTGGCCAGCAGCCAGGACCCGTTCGATCTCTTCAACATGGAGGACACCGACTTCAAGATGTCCTCCGACCTGTCGCTGACCTGGGACAAGGTCGACTTCGCGACCTAGCCCGGGATTCAGCCTTGGAGCTCGGCCTTGTGTACTTAAACAGCGACGGAGAGAGCCGAGCCGAGTGGCTCGCCAACACAAGTGCTACACGCGAGAACCGTGAACCGCGTCTATTGTGACTATTTGGTGCATTTCCACGACTCGTTTCGCAGCGGATATACTTGCCTAATTATTATTGACGACGATGCACGCGTGTACGTACGGAAGGAATCGACGATCGCGGCGAACACTCGGCCGACGGGGACGCCGAGGAACGTACTTATCGCGCGGGGCTCGACGCGCTCCCGCGGGGAACGCGTCGGCCGGAGCACTTTCTCGTGCGAATTAGGGGTAAAAAAAAGAAAAAAACGTAGCTGTACAATTTTTACGAGCGACGCTTTGGGCGAGCAGTCGAGAGGCAAGGTGCGCGAGATCGGCCGCGAGGCGACGCTCGATTGCTTCTCGCAGGTCGCCGCACGGGTGCACGAATGCAACGTTTCCCTCGGTCGGCGGAGCGAGCCCGACGCGAGCGAGCTGTTTCCCTTTTTTTTTTCTCGCGGCGTCGATCGCGGGGATCCGTCGTCGCGTGCCGCCGCCCTTTCCGAGCGGATCTTCCGCGCGCTCGCGATCGCTCGGATTCGAAAATACGTACGGCACAACGGTGCAACGGAGACGCGATCGCAAGAGCGCTGCCTCCCGCGAGTGGAAACGAAACGACAACGACGGGATGTCTTCAAAATTCTCCAAAGAATCTTCTTGCGAGCGTTCTTAGCTAGTTTTTACTATCCAGTCTCTACAGTCGTGTGTTGCTTGAGTTTTCATAACTGCGAAAAAACAAAAATAGCGTGTGTGTTAAAACTGGAAACCCGGCGGAACGGCTGCGCATATATTTTCCCGCGCACGCTGTCCCGGGATCCCCCGAAAAACACCCCCCATCAACCGGCGAGCCAGCCAGCCACCCCCTTTTACTCTCCTGCTCCCTCCAAAACGAACGAACCATTATTCAATCGTAATCTAATTATCGGCTAATTATTACACTTACGAGAAATCTAATATAAACGTAACGATCTATGGTATGTATGTATACACGTATACGTGCATAGGCATACACACGTATGCATATATGTATGTACAATACAATGTAATGTACGCTGCGTTCGAAAGCCGGGAGAGAATGTGCGAACGAACGGCGAGAGGGGGTGAGGAAGAAGGATTGCGAGAGAGATAGAGAGAAAGAGTGAAAGAGAGAGAGAGAAAGAGAGAGGGAGAGAAAGAGAGGGAGAGAGAGAGAGGGAGCGACGTGTGGAGTGAGTCCGACGGCTTTCCCGCACAGCTATATAATTTTCTAAGCAAGAGCATGTGATGTTAGAGGTTACATATTACATTATTTTAATCTCAGTAATCGCATAGAAAATATTCGGAATGAGTGCGGACAGTGGTGTGCCGATGTCAGGGTATCGTGCGGTTCTCCCGTTTCTTCTTTATTTCCCTCTAATGAGTCGTTTCATTTTTGTTGATTTTTTGTGACATTCCATTGTTTCCAAACTCGAGCACGAGAGCAAGAGACCGAAGCTACGCGAGGAAGCCGCGCTTTCGCGCGTTCTTGTTCGAGCAGAAATCGGAGGGGGCGAGTCTCGGAACCTTTGACTTAACACCTCGGTTTCCGGCAACCATACGCGAAAACCTTCAGTATTCGCGACTTGGAGATGGACGAAAAAAACGGAGGCTCTGACTATTATCTCTGCTATACGGATTGCTCGGTTTCCGATCGTTCGAGACTATTTAGGAATTCTTCGAAAATGACGCGGTACAGTAATGAACAATTTGGAAAGAGGAGACACGATTATTTGGGCCTTGCGGTCCGTTTTTATAATTGTCGACAATTCGTAACTATAGAATAACTATAGTAACTGTAAATACAAACCGCAAAGCTCGAATAATCGTATATAATTGTCCATTACGAAATTGGACAATTTGGGAAGAGGAGACACGATTATTCGAGCCTCGTGGCTCGTTTTTATAATTGTCGACAATTCTAACTATAGAATAACTATAGTAACTGTAAATACAAACCGCAAAGCTCGAATAATCGTATATAATTGTCCATTACGAAATTGGACAATTTGGAAAGAGGAGACACGATTATTCGGGCCTTGCGGTCCGTTTTTATAATTGTCGACGATTCTAACTATAGAATAACTATAGTAACTGTAAATACAAACCGCAAAGCTCAAATAATCGTATATAATTGTCCATTACGAAATTGGACAATTTGGGAAGAGGAGATACGATTATTCGGGCCTTGTAGCTCGTTTTTATAATTGTCGACAATTCTAACTATAGAATAACTATACTAATTATAAATACGAATCGCAAAGCTCGAATAATCGTATCTCCTCTTTCCAAATTGTCCAATTTTTTGTGGGAAATCTGAGCGTCAATTAGAGAGACATTACTGTTTTCGTTCCAAAAAATTCGCGCCGAGAAATTGATGTCCGTGAACCTCCGAAGTGATCGGAGGGCGCAACGGTCTGGGACACCCCTCGCAGAACCAAGTGGCTTCGTACGTCGACGTAACGATAAAGGATCGCACTGCCTAGCTCGGTAATAATGCGAGAGAAAGTGGTGAATGCGTGCTGCCGTGTTGCCCGTGAGATTGTATGTATGTATGTATGTATGTATGTATGTATGTATGTGTCTGTGTGTGTTTGTGACCACATGGAAACGGTATCAGCGTACGTGATCAGCGATGGTGCTAATCGAAACCCCTAATTAGAGCTACCGGTTGTCCTCCATAGCTGAATCCGCCGGCACCTTCTTACCGTCGTGTCCCCGAAAAGCGATCCCATGGTGACTCCTGGACGATTCGATGGTGACTCGACGGTGCGGGCCGTGTTCCCGATTCAAGTAGCTTGTTCCCTTGTTCTCACGATCGAAAGTGGCAGTTTGGCAAGCGAGGTCGTACCATCATAATCAGCATCACCATCATTGTCATCGTCGTCATCTTCATCGTCGTTATCATCCAGCATTCATGATCATCATCATCATCATCATCCAACATTCATAATCATCACCATCATCATCGCCGTCATCATTATCATCCATAATTCATTATCATCATCATCATCATCACCGTCGTCATTATCATCCATAATTCATGAATGTAGTCATCAATGGACGTAGTCATCGTCATCATCATCATCATCATTCATCATCATAATCATTCATCATCATCATCATCATTCATCATCATAATCATTCACCATCATCATCATCGTCATCATAATCATCGGCATCGTCGTCGTCACCGTTCACCCCTCACCGCACAAAGACGAAACCAGCAAAAGTATGCAACATTCCAAACGTTCACGCGCCACAGAGAAAGATCCCGTGGGCCTCGAAGCGCCATGTTCCTCGCCAGACGCAGCCAATGATCCGAAACCGACCCTGCATTGCCGATTCGTTGTCCTGCTAGACGCTTATACTTCGCCGAAACGAATTGTTCGCGACCGCGACGGGACGATGTGAACGACGAGTGGAATCGTAGATTTGATCCGCTTGGCAAAGTTAAATCGCATCGATTCGGACAGAATCGTTAAGGATACGCGTCCGCTGATTTCAGAGGCAAACGACGAAAGAAAAGAATCGAAGGAAAGAATCGAAAAACATCGAAAGTGTGAACCACTGTATTGGTCGAGGTCCATTCGAAACCCGTGCATTTAGATCGAGACCAGTTCCCCTCGATTCGATCTTACATACGCTCGTGCACACGCGCCAACACACACACACACATACATACCCATACACGTTTACAGAGTGTCCCAAAAATGTCTCGCAATCTGGAAATGGCGGGTTCCTCGGATCATTTGAAGCAACTTCTTCCTTTACAAAAATTTTCTCCGAGGCACCGTTAACGAGTTATTAACGAAAAACAGTGACCAATAAGAATCGAGTACGGCTGACGCGAGGCGGCCCAGCCAACCTGCGCACGAAGCCCAGTTCCCCCCATTAGCTCGGTCGCGTCGCGCCAGCCGAGCTCGCCTCTCATTGGTCACTATTTTTCGTTAATAACTCGTTAATGGTGTCTCGGAAAAAATTTTTGTAAAGGAAAAAGTTACTTCGAATGACCCGAGGAACCCGCCACTTTCGGATTGCGACATATTTTTGGGACACCCTGTATATACGCGCCATACGCACGTTCGCTTCGCAACAAACCACGCTACTAACTCTGCATTTAAAAGTCCTCTAACCGCGCGATGGGGAATAGAACAGACGGGAAGAGGGATGAGGGCGCGCGCGCGGGTCGAAGAAAGAGGGAACATGGTGCGTGATCAGGGTCGAGAGTCGTGCCAAAAAAGAAACGTCCCCTTGCCAGAGCGTATCGCTTCGTCGTACGAAACGTACCGCCCGTTGCCATGACAATAAGAGTTTTTTAGCGTGTTGTAAAATAATAATTGTATCATACGTGAGCTATAGGGCCGCGGGAGAGTGCTGTGTCGTCGAACATGCGAACTCGCCTGTCGAGGGTTCGAGCGACGTGTCCAGAACGATCGCCGTTCGACAAAAATGGCTGACGGACGGTTTTTTACGTTGCTCCGCGGCGACACGAAGGGGCTGATCCGGTCGCGTTTTACACTAAAAGTTGGCGGCTCCTCGCGCGAGTCTGCCGCTGAAACGGGCAGGCCGTGACCTCGGACGATCGGCCGGCTATGTCGCGACCTTGCTTCGACCTTGGGCAAGCGTTTCGCTCGACGAACAGCGCGCGCGCGGCACGCGGCGATCCCCGAATTTTTGTTCTTTGTTCTTCTCTGGAGACGTGTCGCGGTATACGTCGTTGCTTGTCACTGCGACCCCCCCCCCCCCCCCCCCCCCCCCCCNAGCGCGCGCGCGGCACGCGGCGATCCCCGAATTTTTGTTCTTTGTTCTTCTCTGGAGACGTGTCGCGGTATACGTCGTTGCTTGTCACTGCGACCCCCCCCCCCCGCCCCGCGATAAATAATATACTTCTTTTCTCTTCGAATCATGATATCTGGTCGACGATCGATTGATTGATTTGTCAGGCTGTGCGAATCTGGTAGTCTGCTGTGTCCGTGAGACGGGTGAAAATGTGTCTTCTTTTCTCGTTCGTATAATCGAGCGTGTTTGCGAGAGTGTGTCCGGAGGCGACGACGAGGACGATGGAAGGATATATAGTACGTAAGCGACCGAGGGCGAGGAAGACGATCAGAGAGGATGGGAATGGCGGTACAGGAGAGCTATTAGAGATGAAATTCTTCGTTTCGGACGCGTGCTTTCTCGTCCGTGTATAGGGTTTTGCGAGAGATTGTACCGTGTATAAACGTGCTAAAAACAAACAAAAGTTCACAAAAATATGTATACACGTAATGTACGATTGCGCGTGCTCGTACGCACGCATACACCCACATGTACACGCATACGCACGCGCGCGCACCCACGTGCGCGCCCATACATACATACATATATACATAACATACATACATATATACATACATACATAACATACATATATATACATACATATATACATACATACATACATACATACATGCAAGATATATACATAGATACATACATACACGCACACGTACACATACAGATTCATACGTTACAGAGACACGATCGCACGAACGTATTTTGTATGAGCATGCGTAAAAAGAAATGGTATAAGTTTTGTTAAGTAACTATGAATTTATTGTAATGATATGTACGTTTAAGTAACGATCACGTAATTATTGCTAGAGAGAGTGTTATTTATTTTTATTTGTTGCAAATTTATCGATTGCCTTCCATTTGAGTAAATAAATAAATCTAAAGTTATTCGCTAAGCCGTTCGTTTCTTCTCCTTTATGACCAGAGAGCGTAAGAATCGCGCGAGGGGCCCATCATGTTCGAATCGAACGATCGGACTTTATAATTTCGGCGCTGAATTTTGCAATGACAATTTCCGTCGGCGCACGCGCACTCGATTATATTCGTGGCGAACGTCAAACCGATTTAACGTTCCTTAATTCGTGGCTCGACAAATCTTGCCGGGCGTGAAAGTTACGCGAAACGAGACGAGACAACGTTATCGATTCGGCGTGCTAACAGAAATTCGTCCGACCTGCTTCGGTTGTGTAACAATGGCGGCTACGCAGCAAACATAACCTCTAAAATGTTTACACCGTACTTCTGATCAGCCCGAAAGTGAGTACCAGCGCAAAATTGTGTAAGCTTCGTTCGACGAATAAACGAACGGTCACGATCGAATTAATTTGTTGTACCGACTGTTTCAATCGGTGCTCGTTTTACGGTGCCGTGTAACGTAAAATGTCGGCTGCTATTTATAATGCGGACGTATTGCCAAAAATGCAAGAATGTAGGTTGTTTCAGAGACTTCCAGCAGTGAGATTGTACATCGCGAAAGTGACGATGAAGCGCAAACCGAAAACCACGTCGACGGATGTGACGGCGCCGAAAAGACACCATTGGGCAACCGGTTTGCTCGTGTCCATGGAGGATCCGGCGCTCAAGGTCAAGGAAGACGACAAAGTGGTCGTCATTAAAGACAAATATCCAAAGGCACAGTTTCATTATCTGGTCTTACCAAAGGCAAACATCCCTTCGATTTGGCACGTGAAGAAGGAGAACGAAAATCTGTTGAACCACATGGCCGACGTTGGCAAAGATCTGACTAAACAACACAAAGATTTCGAGTTTCTGTACGTGTTCGAACTACGATACTTACAACATATTCGTTTCAAGGCAGGCAATTAATTGTAAATAAATTCTTTTTCAGTATCGGATACCACGCTGTTCCCAGTATGCAGCGGTTACATTTACATGTAATAAGCACCGACTTCAATAGCCCCTGTCTAAAAACCAAATACCATTGGAACTCGTTCACTACACCCTTCTTCTTGCATTCGGAAGGTACGTCAGTCGGCGAAACATTTGTATCGAACCAACCGAGCCATTTTAACACGTTGAATGCCACGCCGGTTTTACAGAAATTGTCCGTGGCGCCGCGATGAATTTTCTTTTACGTGATACATATAATGTTGAAATATTATCTGCAATAGATAAGTTACAGTGTATAACCATGTTTGACATGTTAATTGCGACAGGGGTCACTGTTTGAATTGGCGATGGTAATAATACAAAATTTTAGATATTAACATTTGTTTTAAATTATATATATTTAATATATAATTATAGAAAATATATTAGATTATTAAATTATATTATATTAGTTAAGTGCCGGTCACCGGTGACCCCCGTGGCATTCAACGTGTTGAAATTCAAGAACGTCGACCGCAATCGTTGTTTTCTCTTTTTTATCACATGTAATAATTCTTTTCTATTACATGTAATAAGCACCGACTTCAATAGCCCGTGTCTAAACACCAAATACCATTGGAACTCGTTCGCTACACCCTTCTTCTTGCATTCAGAAGGAAGAACCATTTTAAAATTCAAGAACGTCGACTGCAATCGGTGTTTTCTTTTTTTATCACATGTAATAATTCTTTTCTATTACATGTAATAAGCACCGACTTCAATAGCCCGTGTCTAAACACCAAATACCATTGGAACTCGTTCGCTACACCCTTCTTCTTGCATTCAGAAGGAAGAACCATTTTAAAATTCAAGAACGTCGACTGCAATCGGTGTTTTCTTTTTTTATCACATGTAATAATTCTTTTCTATTACATGTAATAAGCACCGACTTCAATAGCCCGTGTCTAAACACCAAATACCATTGGAACTCGTTCGCTACACCCTTCTTCTTGCATTCAGAAGGAAGAACCATTTTAAAATTCAAGAACGTCGACTGCAATCGGTGTTTTCTTTTTTTATCACATGTAATAATTCTTTTCTATTACATGTAATAAGCACCGACTTCAATAGCCCGTGTCTAAACACCAAATACCATTGGAACTCGTTCGCTACACCCTTCTTCTTGCATTCAGAAGGAAGAACCATTTTTAAATTCAAGAACGTCGACCGCAATCGTTGTTTTCTTTTTGTTTCATCGTAGATATCTGTAACCAGTTGCGCGAGAAGGGTGAACTGCAGCGATTGAAATCCGAGGACAGCGCCGAGCACCTGAACACCCCTCTGAAGTGCCATAAATGCCCTGAAACCCCGAAAAATATGCCCGAATTGAAGAGACACTTGTTGTCGCATTTGCCGGATCAAAGGAATATCGTTCCGCTGAAATGAATGGACGTTCCCACGCGCGCGTTTAGACGTACTTCCTTTTTCGTTAGTTTCAGATTCTTTAAGTTACACGTGTCGACGGCATAACCTTGCCGAACGCACGACCTTAGAATACACACAGAGTTTACGTAATGTACGATAAGAATGTAGATTAAAACAAATACATTGTTTTGTAAAAATACTGTCGTTCCAGTCGATTGCAACCTGTCCGCCCCGGTCGACGTTATCGATAAGGATAAGGATAAACAGGTAATGTCGATTAAATAACACCACAAAGAGACATACGGTATTTCGGAAAATTTACTATAAATAAATTTGATGTTAATATTAATAGGTCACGTCGCCTATATAATATCAATTACATGCTAACTATTTACAGAGTCTTCTTATCCGATGTGAAGTATTCAAGTGTGTACAAGGTGAACCGTCGTGTGAAGGTGGTGTGTTGTCCGGGTGGTCCTGTGTATGTGTATATACGTGTGAGTGTACATTAGTCTGTATACATTTAGTAATACTGCAATTAATAGTTGAACCGTCCTTGTCACGCCGAAACGGTAGGCAATCGAATAATCGCAAGGCCATGGTTGTTATTGCTTGCGTGTGTGAAAATTAATGCATCTCGTGAACGATCTCGCCACTGTCATCGTTCTCTCTCTCTCTCTCTCTCTCTCTCTCTCTTGTTACACGTGAAACAAGATTCACGGCTGTTTCGTACTGCTTTAAGTATAATCATCGCGTGCGAGCGGTATAAATTAAATTAGCTAAGTTATTCTGGGGTGTCGCGTTGACAGTTGTGTCGTCTCTCTCAACAAATACGGCTAGAGATTTCTTAAGTTTTCTCAGCTAGAGTTGCAAGTGGAGCTATAATACAAAATGGGGTGTGTGTGTATGTATGTGTGTGTCTAGCCGACAACGCCGAGCGCCGGCCTCTCCGAGGCGTGTGTGCCAGGGAATCTCAGCGATTGACCAGTCTCTCGCGGCGAAAGAAAGGAAAACGAAGAAACTAGAAGAAACTATTTAAATACGATAAAAGCGACCACCCTCCTCTGGGCTCCCCGGAGCGGAAGCGAGGGCGCGCCGACGCTCGACCGTCGATGAAAAGAAGGGGGGAGAGGGGCAGCACACACGTTTCCTACGTGAAAGTTTGCAACGTCTGCATAAAACGTAGAACCTGCAAAGTTTACCAACGGTGGAAACGTGTCCGAGGCCGTGTCACCGACCCGCGCGTGTGTCTGTGTGTGTGATTAAACGCCTGTGCCTCAAGGGGGAAGGGGGGCGGGGTCGATAGAAACGGCGACGCCGCGACGCGCTCTTTCTTCGCGGCTGAGAAACGACGATGGGCGAGGGCTCGCGTCGACGTCAGCGAGGAACTTTTTTAATCGGACGTAGCCGTGAACGATCGAAGCTCCTTGTGGCGTTCGACGATCCACAACGGACGCAAGCTTCGGGAATTTTTAGCTCGTCGACGCTCGTAGCCCCGGCCTGCCTTTGCCTCAGTCAGCGACGAAAGATCGCGCCCTGTGATTCTTCTTTGACCTAACACCGCACCACGCCGAGACGCTACACCCTCCGTGACCGAGAACGGACTCTGTGAACCATGTGGGGGCGGTTTGGGGGGAGCGCGCGCGGTTTCGGTTTTTCGCGGTTCGAAATTCGGGGGGCTCTGGAAGGGACGCGTGGTTTACAAGGGCGGTAACAACAACAACAAGAACAACAACAACAACAACGAGAACAACAACTATGGGAATATTCCCTTCGCGCGAACGATTCTCACTATAATTGATGGGGGGAGAGACGGGAGCGGGGGGACGGATCGGTCGTCGAGGCCCGCGCGCCCCGCTTTCGCCCGCAAGCACCGTGCGTGACACGCCAAAAGCGGTCATTTTGGAAAGCCACTGGGCGCAAGGACAATGCCGATCCGCGAACGAACCGCCATTATTTCGAGCATACTCGCGCGGCGTCGCGGGCCCGACGATCGAACCGTCTCTCGCACCCGAGTCTCTCCTCCGAAATACCCTGTTTAAGTCTCCTAAGTGTCGCGCGAAGGAGGAGAACGGGGAACGGGGGCCGCGGGGGGAGCAGTGTTCGGGGGGGGGGTGGACGCGGAGGTAGGTGGCGCGGGTCTGTTTCGTTTACGCGTATAATACAAAACGGGTCACGGAGCGGGGTCGCGCGCGCGATCCAGTCGTCAGCCAACTTTTTCGTAGGTAACGTCAACGTAATTATTAAAGCTAAGCGCACGGTTCTGGCCTAAAATCTACGGACGAACGAGTTTATCCACTCTCACTCTCTCTCTCTCCCTCCCTCTCTCTCCCACTCTCCCTCTCTCTCTCACACTGCTTTATACACGATTTGCCCTAACTACTATTCACAATTCATAAATACTTTGTATATCTGTATATGCATATATGCCAGTTTATGTATATATACTTTTATAGAATATCTATATAATATATAGAATATTTATGTATAGATAAATGTACAGGTATCGTACAAGTTCGGCCGGCGACGACTGGATCGCGCGCGCGCAAGGGTAGCGTCTCGGTGCGTGTCGGTAACGTGGCAGTATTTACACGAATACCTAGAGTATTTACGCCTAAGGACGATATAATTAATATTAAATATATATATATATATGTATGTATGGATATATATCTACGTATATGTATATTTATATACATATATAGATATACGTATATATATACGTGTACGTATGTACGCGGAACGCAATTTTTACAAGTGGCTGCGTGACGCGTGTACACGTGGGCCGTAAATACGCTCGGCGTGTGTACATGCGTACGCAAGCATGGCGCTCTAGTGAACGGTTTAATAGTAAAATAGTAGCGGTAGTAACGGTAGTAACTAGTAAATAATAGTCGCAGTGGTGGTAGCGGTAGTGATACTAGCAAGTCTGTGTGTTGTGTGTATGTTTTTTAAATTCTTAACGATTAAACGCGCGCGGTTCGCTAGATTCTTGAATATCTGTTTCCCTCTTTCTCTATCTCTCTCTCTATTTTGCGGGAACGTAAAAACGGTAATAAATAAATAATCACGGGACAAACACGGTAATGCAATAAATTAAAGGAGGCCGCGTACAGGAGAGACGAAAAAAAAAATAAAAAGAACGAAACGATACGGGAGCTAACGAAAAGATAATGATAATAATGTTAATAATGATAATATTAATTAGAATAATAAGAATAATAATAATAATAGTAAACGATGAACGGAAGTCGCTTAAATAACGCGGTCGAGAACGTGTTCTTTTTACGAGAGGGTGCAAAATACTTCATACTTGATAATACACGGCGAAATATTGAATAACAGTTAGAACGTTAACGATATCTAAACCGTAGCGGCGGCACTAAACACTAAGAAAATTATACTAATAGTAAGAATGATAACGACGATTGTACGGGACGCGACCAACGAACTTGCTAATGTGTATGACGTGTACGTGGTTGTGTTCCTCTAGTGAACGCGTGTAATTTCGCATCTAAACGGGTTACTACGTCTCTTAAAGCTATCCTTTTAATTCACTATCATCTATCTATCTAACTTAGTCATGTCCGGACAAGGCGCCCGAGCTTAGGCTCCGCGGAAACGATCTCTCTCTTTCTCTCCCTCTCCTCTCTCTCTCTCGGCCGTTGTTCGCAAAACGATAGCCAGCGAATGCGAGTGTCTGCCATTCGTTGCACCGTTTCGCGTACGAACGGAACAGCCCTCGGAAGTGTACTGGAAGGAAAACTAATCGCGTCTGTCACAAACTGAACGAATAATAGCGACGGTGCTCTGCGGATATGCGTTTACGAATTTCTCTACGCGCGCAAAAAGAACTGGGCGAAACTCCGCGCAACATTGATTTCGGATTCGAAACGAATTTTCGCGACGAGTTTGTCGAAACGAATTTTCGAAACGATTCTTTTGCGATATTGATTCGGCTTCGTGTGGTTTCAAAACGGATTTAAATAGAGGAATTTAAACGAGACGCCAGTGGCCCGGGAGATATCTAGCAGGAGACGAACAACAATAATTTCACTCTGTGCGGAGAAACGTGTCGCGGGAGTTTCGCCCGAATAAGCGCGTCTTTTTGTTTCCTTTTCGCCGCGATCGCTTCTGGATCGGGCGGTACTTTGAAAACGAGACGTGGGTCGCGTGTCTCTACAAAGCCGTGTGTGTATGTGTGTGTTACCAACAATAAAAACGTTACGGTTTTTGACCAGATTGATGAACTCGTGTTCGCCCGAACGGGCTTCCGAGAGGCCGGGGAGAGACGAATTTCGCGAACGGAGAGCCCGGTTGAGCGCCGGCAGGGCTCCGCCACCCGTGGATATCCCTGACCTAATTTTTCCTATCGAGACTCCCATGTATCTCCAGCTTTTTCCCATGAAAGAATAGAGCTTCGTTACTCCCCTCCAATATCCACCGCTTCTGGCGTTTGTACAAGAAACCTTCTTTCTCTCCGCGTTTTCTCTTTCCGTTTCCATGCTCCCGGAAAAATCCGGTTCGAAGTGTTTCTCTCTCTCTCTCGCTTCCTTCGTTAGTGGTTATTTCCTTCCTGTTCCCGGCATTGCGCGCAGACACCCACGCACGCACACGCGCTCTTTTCCCTGTCATACGCACACGCACGCACGCGTTGTTCGATTCGAGTCCGCCGAGGGCCGTAGACCGCGGAGGGGGGGAAGGCGACGCCGCGAGAAAATTCTGGACTAAGAAAAAGAGACGGTGGTGATGGTGATGATGTGACGAACCGCGGTCGGACAACGATTTTTGTACCTACGAAATATATAATCTATCTATACGTCTATCTAAACTATATAGAACACTATTTATACAATCGACGGACGATTTTACGAAGCCCGCTCTTCGCTGGAAACCCCGCGCTAATATATACAAATAGGTTCCCGAGGAGAGAAAAGGGCCAACGAACAACGAGAGAAGAATACTGTAGAACTCGAAGAGAGCAAGGGCCTTAAGGGCCCCCCAATTCCAGGCGACGTAAAACGGTCCCCGTTAAAGCTGCAAAGCGGTTACGTTGTCCCCCCCCGTCGCGTATTTCCCGGACAATTTTTGGTTGACTTCGACTATAATAAATTGACGGCTAGTCCCTCACACAATTTGCTAGATAATTTTCGCTACATTTGGAACAAAACCGCTTCTGCGCGCGCGCGCGTCTCGCGATCGGGATCGCCCCCTCCATCATTCAGTCGCGTATCGAGATCCGCTCTCTCGTTCGACGTGTTCCCGCAATTTCGACTGGCGATTCTTCCCGGATAAATATAATCCCGGGCGATCTCGATCGCGAGCGGACGCGAGCACGCGCGCGCACATGCTGTGATCGGACACAGCCTCGATAATAATACACACCTGGGCTAAAAAGTTTCGCTATTTTTTATGCGTTCGCGTGTCGGAGAACGAGCGCGAGCAGCCTCTCTCGATCGGGGTTACCCGGTGAATCGATAATAAATACGGAACTTCGAACGCAACCGGAGATTGCATCTTGCTGCGCTTGAATGCGTGCTTTCCGAATACCGTCCCCTCCCCCACCGAGTCGCGCGCGTTCAACCCGGGAGGGGGGGGAGGCCGCTTTCGACTTTCAATTGGTTCACCTAGAAAATTGTCTCCTAAATAACCTGTACAAGAAACTTATATCCTAGGAAACGTATCATTCCTTAAACGACGAGTCACGACTTGTGTAATTTTTACCCTAAATCGAATCGGAAACTATTCGGAATCGCCAACCCCCACGGTAGGTATACGAAGCGGTATAAGGTCGCGCGCCTCGCGGACTTTTTCACGGTGTCGCATAGAGTCTATACAGGATGAAAACCTTTTCTTCTATCCATCTCACTTCTTCCTGTCCCCCGGCTTTTCCCCACTCGTTCTTTCTCCGTTCGTGAAAAGCGATCGGTGTTGTTGTTGTTGTTTCAGTCTTCTTTGTTTACGCGGTGGTCTCCTGCAGGCCGTAGTAATGGACTCGCATGTTCTCCACTGCTCTGCACCACTCCAATGCGAATCCCTCGGGATCTTCGAGATAGTAGGTTCTGTTCGGCTGTAACCAAACAGGAGAGAAACGGTTTAGTTAGTTGCGATCGACGCGCGGGATTCTCTCTCGTTGCTGAAATTACGGCTGCCGCGAGTAAACAAGGGTAATCGAACCGGGCCAAGGTCTGTTTTGCTACTGTAACTTTATTTTTAATCGCGGTAAACACCGGCCGTAAACAAATCGCGCGTAGACCCGGCCAATCTAGCTGCACGCGCGTTATTTCGATCGTTGAAATCGGAGCCGGGGCTGCGGACTGCCGAAGATGGAACAACGTTTAGAATCGCGAGGTTAAGAGAGAGAGAGCGAGATACTCACTGTGTGAACGAAGAAGATCTTGAAACTCTTCGGCTCGACCCTCAGCTCCGGGCTCCAAGGTATCTCGCCCTTGAGCATCATGCTGACTGGATCGACGTAGTATAGGTGTGGTCCGGTGGTTAGCAGGAGCATCCTCCGTCTGGCGAAGAGGCCTTTCCTCTTGTTGACAAATCCCTGCTTCAGAATCAGGTTTCCCTCGACAAAACCGTCCCACTGGTTCGAGGTGCGCTGCTTCTCCACGCGGTTCTTGATCTCCTCCGGCGTCAGATCGGTGATGTTCCCGTCAACGTTGGTGGTCCGTCTCCTCGGCGGCTTCTCGACGACCGTGTTGGTCGGCGCTGGTTTCTCGCGCACGGTGGTCGCGTCCTCCTCGTCGTCGTCGTCGTCGTCGTCCTCGCCGATACCCAAACCGAGGAGCCTGGTCAGCTGTTTGTCGTCGAGGCCGGGCTCGAGGTGATCGGGGACCCTGTACTGCGACCTGAGCTCCTCGTGCTCCGACGTGCCGGGCAGGTAAGGGTAGATCGGCGGCGGGTTCTGCTCGTGGAGGGTCTCGAAGTCGACGGCCTCGAAGAACGGGTGCGCCCTGATGCTCGGGTAGCCGGCGCCGTGCTCGTCCTGGGCGCCCAGCCTCTTGCTCGGCTCGAGGACCAGCAGCTGACTGACCAACGATCTCGCCAGCTCGCAGAATCCGTCCGGGATCTCGTACTCGAGCTTCAGGATCTTTTGGAATATCATGTACTCGCTCCTAGAGCGGAACGGTGGCAGACCGGCGACCATCTGGTAGACTATGCAGCCAAGTGCCCAGAGGTCGGAGGCTCTGCTCGCTGTCTTGTCCGTTAAGAGTTCCGGCGACACGTATTGGGCGGTGCCAACGAACGAGCCCCTGCGCTCTCTTCTGTAAGGTTGCTGCTGCTGCTGCTGTTGTTGCTGCTGCTGTTGTTGTTGTTCGTCCGAGGTGGTGTTGTGCGTCAGCACCGTCTCCGGGTCCTTCAGGATCTTCGCGCTGCCGAAGTCGGTGATCAGCACGTGCATCTTCTCGTCCAACAGAATGTTCTCCGGCTTCAGATCCCGATGGATGATCCCGAGCCCGTGAAGGTACTCGAGACCGCGCAGGATCTCCGCCGAGTAGAACTTCGTGCACTCGATGTCGAAGGAGCCGACCTTGTTGATGTAAGGCAGGAGCTCGCCGTTCTTTGCGTATGATAGGACGAAATAGAGTCTTTCCACGTCTTGGAACGTACAGAACAGGCGCACGAACGAGTGTTTCGCGCCCGCGAGCATGTTCAGCACTTCCTTCTCGCGCTTCACGTACTCGGTCTTCTTCTCCTTGATGATGTGACGCTTGTCGCACACTTTGATCGCGTACTCCTTGCTGGTGTGGATGTCCTTGGCGAGGTAAACCTGCGCAGAGAAACCATCGCGTTGCTTAATCGTTCCCCTCGACAAACGTTAACACTTTCGCTACCACGGGCCACTGTAGTGGCCTTCCATAAGATACCACTGAGGTACTACCGGCCACTATAGTGGCCCTCCATAAGATGCATTATATTGCATAATGTTATTTCCTCTCATAATAAAGTAAATTAAAGAGCGCATGCTAAGACGTTATAAATATCCTGGAATACCCTTTATTTAAGCAGCTTGGATTCTCCGCGGCGCTCCNAGGTAAGGGTAGATCGGCGGCGGGTTCTGCTCGTGGAGGGTCTCGAAGTCGACGGCCTCGAAGAACGGGTGCGCCCTGATGCTCGGGTAGCCGGCGCCGTGCTCGTCCTGGGCGCCCAGCCTCTTGCTCGGCTCGAGGACCAGCAGCTGACTGACCAACGATCTCGCCAGCTCGCAGAATCCGTCCGGGATCTCGTACTCGAGCTTCAGGATCTTTTGGAATATCATGTACTCGCTCCTAGAGCGGAACGGTGGCAGACCGGCGACCATCTGGTAGACTATGCAGCCAAGTGCCCAGAGGTCGGAGGCTCTGCTCGCTGTCTTGTCCGTTAAGAGTTCCGGCGACACGTATTGGGCGGTGCCAACGAACGAGCCCCTGCGCTCTCTTCTGTAAGGTTGCTGCTGCTGCTGCTGTTGTTGCTGCTGCTGTTGTTGTTGTTCGTCCGAGGTGGTGTTGTGCGTCAGCACCGTCTCCGGGTCCTTCAGGATCTTCGCGCTGCCGAAGTCGGTGATCAGCACGTGCATCTTCTCGTCCAACAGAATGTTCTCCGGCTTCAGATCCCGATGGATGATCCCGAGCCCGTGAAGGTACTCGAGACCGCGCAGGATCTCCGCCGAGTAGAACTTCGTGCACTCGATGTCGAAGGAGCCGACCTTGTTGATGTAAGGCAGGAGCTCGCCGTTCTTTGCGTATGATAGGACGAAATAGAGTCTTTCCACGTCTTGGAACGTACAGAACAGGCGCACGAACGAGTGTTTCGCGCCCGCGAGCATGTTCAGCACTTCCTTCTCGCGCTTCACGTACTCGGTCTTCTTCTCCTTGATGATGTGACGCTTGTCGCACACTTTGATCGCGTACTCCTTGCTGGTGTGGATGTCCTTGGCGAGGTAAACCTGCGCAGAGAAACCATCGCGTTGCTTAATCGTTCCCCTCGACAAACGTTAACACTTTCGCTACCACGGGCCACTGTAGTGGCCTTCCATAAGATACCACTGAGGTACTACCGGCCACTATAGTGGCCCTCCATAAGATGCATTATATTGCATAATGTTATTTCCTCTCATAATAAAGTAAATTAAAGAGCGCATGCTAAGACGTTATAAATATCCTGGAATACCCTTTATTTAAGCAGCTTGGATTCTCCGCGGCGCTCCGTTCAGCGGAAGCACCGCGGCGGAGAACCCGCCCGTAGCGAAAGGGTTGAAAGCCCTTCGCACTCGGATATCCCGATCGGAGATTTAGCCAGCGATCGAAGTTACTCCGTCAACTATCCCGCGACTAAGTTCCACGTGCTGCCAGATGGACGCTCGTCGAGTGCAAAGGATCGACCCTCGCGTGCTTCGCGCGGCGAAAAAAGGTGTCCCGATGCTTCGTTGATCGAATTAGCCGACGATCGCGCGTCAACGACTTCGACCGACCGACCGGTTTCCGGGCAGGGTAGTAATTACCAAAATGTCGGGGATCGTTCGATCCAGGATAACCAAATCCGCGGGCAACGAGGGCGACAGAGAGGGAGGACCGGTTAAGTCGAGAACAGTAGTTAGATCGATACTCCTGCGAACTAGGGGTCGCGCGTTCGGAAAAACTTTCTGTAGAAAGTTTCGTAACGAGGGGTAGAAAAGTTTGAGAATCACTGGGCGGGGAGGTAGATAGATAAAGAGCAAGAGAAAGAAAGAGAAAGAGAAAAAGAGAGGGAGAGAGAAAGAGAAAGGGGAGACTCTCTTTGCCATTGCCGGGCCAGTGTTAATTCGGAGCTTCTTAATGATTTAATCGAGTTAATGGTATAATACACTTACGGTGGAGAAGCTTCCCTCGCCGATCACCTTGCCAAAGATGAAGTCCTTGGGAGTCCGCTTGTGTGTTGGCGGGTTGATGGTGGTAAGGGCCGGGTTCGTGGTCGGCGAAACCCGGGGCGCCAGGGTGTTGGCTGGCGCGACCACACCATTGGTCACGTCGTTCGTTGGTGGAGACATTTTGGACACCGGCCCCTCCACCGTTACTGCCGGCTGTGGCGAAACGGTAAGCGCCTGGTTCGCCACACGCTGCAACAAAAACGTCCACGACTTAATTACCAAACAGTTCGAGGACTCGCCGAGTCGCGGGTACAAGCTACAAGTAGAACGATCGTCCGACCGCGCGAAATCTGTTTTCGATTCCCTGTTGTTTTCGAATCTGTTGTCATTCTCTGATCGAAAACCTAGCGACCGTCCCAGGGTTCTACACTCTGTTTCTCGATAAACTCGAGTTTCCCCGAGGTCTTAAAATGGTAGCGCACGATCGAGCGGAAACGGTGTCTCGGGGCTGTCCGCCGCGATCTTTCGAAGGCGAAGCGGTCCGTGGGCTCGTGGGACAGCGAGAAGGCACGAACTCGCGCGTCCGGGTGGCTTAACTCCTCTCATCCGCCAGCGATCGTCCGGAAATCAGGCGCCGGAAGTGACGCCACCGAGGCCCACACGTGGCCGCGTCGTGCAGGTCAGGACGATGGGGTTTTTGTTCGTCCGAACGAAAGAGCGGCGAGAGCGGACCGCGCGCCGCGGCGTTTGTATCCCACGCGCGTTGGGACATTTCAAGGCTGCCTATTGCGAGAGAGAGAGAGAGAGAGACTAATTGACGGTATCTGGATCGAAGAATCGTTCTAGCGCGAATAGCTGGCCCAGATTCGACGAACTTGGACGGCCGAGCGGATAAAAGTGGCACCGAAGCGTTCCGCGGTTGGGAACACCGCCATAAACAAGGGACCGACGACTATGGACAGAGGAGAACGAACCGTCGTCGATGTTCGGGACCTTATCGCGACACCGCATTCAACGTTCGCGGACCTAGTTTCCCCGCGGGCCAGGACAATAGAACCTGAAGACAGTCCCCGGATGACAAAAGAGCGAGCGAGAGAGGACGAGAAGAGACACCGATGGTGGTGGTTCCCCCAAATCAGGGGCTCCCGTTCTCCCGCAAACATTTGAGATGGCCGCCGGTAATGCTGACCTTCGATTATGGCAAACAAAGCCCCCCCTCTTCCCCTCGTCCGATAACGGAAGAGCCGACCTCCCGCGATCGAGAGGGCTACTTTGTAATTGGAAATGATTCCCCCGTGAAAGGTTCGCTCGGTCTTACATATTTACTACGTCTCGGAGAGCTACTCTAATGGAAGGATCCCGAAGAATACGTCCTCGGCGTAATTGGCCGCACGGAAACGCATCTCGCGACAGATGCCTTTCTACCTGCGCGCATAATGGGGTCAACGAATCCGGGACCTGATCAAACGATATAGGAGGCTTGCTCTCGCTCTCTCTCTCTCTCTCTCGCTCGCTCTCTCTCTTTCGCGTTGCGGTCATGAAATTCAATGAAACCTGAAGGGTGCGACGCGAAAGCGAGAGAAGGGTTTCGCGTACACGCAGGCGACCACACACGAGGGTCGTCCGTGCACGTCGCGGCACACATACAACCGCCGATTTTTAAACGGCGATCGTTTCATTTCCGGACCGAAAGACGATCGCCAACGACCCTTTTCGCCTGCTGTTTCCTTCGTCCCATTACCATTGTATACTTCCGCCGAAAGAGACGGATCCCGGCGTTATATACCGATGTGACCGGTCACAAAAGAAAGGAACAAGTTCTCGTCCACGAACAAGAGAATCCGGATGATCCTCGAAATCTAGCTCTGTCTCTCTCTCTCTCTCTCTCTCTCTCTCTCTCTCTCTCTGTCTCTCTTTCATCGTCGTTGTCTAGCTTCGTCTGTCCGGTGTCTTTGACCGTTTCGGACCTTTCGGTGTACGCTCTTTGACTCTCGAAACAAGCTTCGCCGGGCTTTTCACAGAAGACCGGCTCCCAAGAATTCGATATGTTAGCGGGACGTAAATATCGATGACATCTTAACGAGCCACCGAAANAATTTTTTTTATTTTTTTTTTTTTGAGAGAAAAAAGGAAAGGGGGGGGGGGGGGGGGGGGGGGGGGGGGGCCAGCAGAGGTAGAGTCCCGGGTCAAAGTACCGCGACCCGCGGTGAATAACGTCGAGATAGGGGGCGATAAATGCACACAACACGGCTCAATTTCGTGCTGCACGGACGTTCACGGGGGTTGATCATCCATCACTTTTCGTGAACGCCGGAAGGAAGGTCTTGGAGGGCTACGACACTCGCGTACTACGCTCTATACCCTCGAACTCTGCGGGACTTATTGGGGGTGGGGAGCGAGCGAGCGAGCGAGCGAGAAAGAAACAGAGAGAGAGAGAGAGAGAGAGAGAGAGAGAGAGAGAGAGAGAGAGGACGTAACCCGATCGTTTCACCTGAAAAGACACTCGTCGCGATAGCATCTCGGCCGAATCTATTAGAGCTCCGTTCTATATCAGCGAGAGAGCGTTGCGAACGCGGCCCGCGAGAGCTCGAAGAAGAATTGGCGGGCTATCGGGTTCCCAAAGCGGTTCTCGCGCAGACTGGCCAACCCCTTCTTGAAAGGGTTCGACGAATTAATCAAGGAAACCGTGGCAACTGGTTCGAGACATCAGACACCGCGGTAGGAGAGACGCGGAGGGACGCGGCGGCGGCGGCGGCCGGCCAAGAGGAAGAAGGAGGGACTTATATATAGAACGATGAAAACGCAAGTCGGCAAGGCCCTTTCTTTCATCTTCTCCATCCACCTTTCCTCGTTCTTCTTCCCAGGCCGGTTACGAGGCGGGCCCCACGGCGTCAACCATCCGTGTCAGGCCGTCGACCTCGTCGAGCATTTGCCCGAGAGCCACCCAGCAGCGGCCCTACTCTCCCTATGTCCCTATGTGCTCGGCTGGCTTTCGATTTGCCCCGCTAGTTTATTTATTTGCTTATCTATTCCTTGGTCCCCTGGCTACCGCTGACCACCCTCTCCCATCCGCGCGCGCGCGATCTTCCTCGCGATCGCCGCGCCTCTCTCTCCCTCCCACCCTCCGTCTCGCAATCGCTAACAGCGTTCCTTCGGACAAGGGACAACCGCCGACGCCGACGGATATACCGCAGGACAGAGAGCAGAAGCAGAGCAGAGCTAAGAGGAGAGCTGAGCTGAGCCGAGCCGAGCAGAGCAAAGCGTCGATCACGAGATATCAACGAGAGAGAAGACTCGGTCGGGGCTAAGGGGACTCGGGTAATCGATATACCCGACTAACGTCCCACCAGACGACCCCGCAATTTGCTTAGATCGCAGATATGCACGGGATGAGGCGGCAATCGGAATTGCCACCTCGATCTTCGTCGGTAGCGCGCTGGTGTGTTGTCGGTCGCTCGACAGAGAGGACCGAAGGAGAAGAAGAAGCGTGGCCGAAGCCGAAATAAATCGTCCGAGGATAAGCTCTCTCTCTCTCTCTCTCTCTCTCTCTCTCTCTCTCTCGGACGCAACCTTGTTCGGAGGGACGACCCTGCGACACTTTCGCATTCCCTCGAATAAGTCTCGAGGACACCGTGCGATCGGGAGGGGAGGGGAGCGGTCGCGAAAAACGCGCGACAAGTAAGTAGAGGCGGCCAGCAAATTTGCCGGAAGGAAACAGAGGCGAGAGGCGAGGGAGGAGACCCGCGACAACGGCTTCCTCTCCCGGTCTTTTCGAAACGTATAACTTCGCGCGTCCGTTAAACTCTCTCCTCTCTCTCTCTCTGTCTCTCGCGCGCTCACTCTCCTTCCCTCCCTCTTTTTCTGTCGCGCCGCTTCTCGGTCGCTCTAAGTATGAACATGCTCCTCCCGCGATCGCTGAATCACCCTGTACATACACACAAGCCAGCAGCATTCCAACGGACATTCTAATTTTAGCCTTACTGGTCTCGTCTCGTTCTCTCGCGGAGGCGCGCATTCTCTCGGAGTCCGCGCGCCTCTCGTAACGCTCGATCTGGCTCTCCCCGTCTCGCTCGCGCTCCCGCGAGCCGAACAGCCAGCCTGTGTTTTTTGCGCCGACTGCGGAGTGCTGCCCTCTGCCGATGGTACGCGACACTTTCCTCTCTTTCCTCCTTTCCCTTGGCGCGCCGCGCGAAGCCAGGAAGACGGGGGCGCGGGAGGAAGAGGAGTGAGAGAGAGAGAGAGAGAGAGACAGAACGCGCGCGAGAGAGAGAGAGAGAGAGAGAGGTGGTGGAGAATGCGGCGGGAGGGGAACGAGAACGAGACCGAGAACGAGAAAGAGCGAGAGAAAGAGACGGAGAGCAATGATCGTAGAGAGACCCTTGCGCCTTCCTTCGGCCCCTCCTCGCCCTTCTGGCCCACCCCCCGCCGCGACCCGACGCGCGACGCATCGGCTTTTCGCCGGCTACCAGAAGGGACTACGCCTATTGGCGCAGGCGGCCAGCACTTTTGCCCGTGAATGAGATGTTTTGCATTCGCAGACGCTGAGAAACGTGTCGCGCGCGCTTGCTCCGCGACTAAATTGGAACACGCCACGGCGCGCTGTGCCCGCCCGAGACCGGAGACTAATAAAAGGGCCTACGCCGAGCAAAGAGAGCGAGCGAACGAACGAACGAACGAACGAACGAGAGAGAGAGAGAGAGAGGACCGCGTCGATTTTCGTCGAGGGTCGATACCACGTCTCGCCGCGAATGAATTCTTTCATTCCGTGCACCTGATACGCCTCGTTTGCCCGGCGAGGCTCGGCTATCCTCCGCCGGGAATGCTCTGTTAGTTACGTGCCCGTCTAACAATGCGAACCAGATTCTACGAAAATTCTCGATGCGTCGCGTCCACTGTCACACCGTCGCGCGCGGCACTTTTGCGATTCGTTCCGCGAGACTTTTCCCATAACGAACGCGAATTCCGTTTTTCCTTTTTTTCTCTGTTTTTCAACGTTTCACCGTACCGAAGTTCAAAGCGTCCAATTAAGCGCGAACCGTTTGCGGAGGGGGCCATCTGTCAAATAAAAATGTCCTACGAGTAAATAATAACGTAAAGGGTAAAGCGCACACACACTACCACCATGATCGTGTACGTCGACGTGCAAGGTTGACAGGCTCGTATCACATTATTATTAACTGTACTTCTAATATTATTAAATTCGAAGCTTCGCCGTGTGTAAATGCACCGTTTACGGCGCTCGGAACAGG